CCTGTTAAAAGGACCTGTTAGCTCACACACACACGCACAAACTTAATGTACCCGCCTATATATGTCCCACTGCTGGGCTAAGGCCTCCTCTGTGCAGGACCACCTGTACCAACTGGGAAATAGTTCACCACTCGGCCCCAGGCAGGCTTCACATACCTTCGAAATATTTTTTTTTGTAATCATTTCGAAAACACGTTGTATTCTTTCACCGCTGAACACGTGATAAGTCAGCACAAAAATTTGAACACAGGAAGCTGGAGTAATGTGAATTAAAAGCGAACGGAGCTTGTAAAATATTAAAATGATACTCGAGAAACCGTTTGACGCTATCTTAATTAATAGGCACCGTCAATGAAGACTTGAAACGATCGTTATCCAACACGAGTCAAGCATTATTCGGTAGACTCGGCTTTTAATTAATCGTCATAGTTAAATACGTCTTTTTGTTAACAATGATTATCTCCGATTTTTATCGCTGCCCAGTGTCATGGATGCTGAACACTTCTGAGAATTACTATGCGCCATGATCGTAATTAACAAACGAACGATGTTCTCCTAGTATAAAGTCAGATTGGTTCTTTTATTTTTATTTAACTTAGGCGTTTTTCCAACAGCTTCGCAATGGTGAATATTTTTGTCAATAAATTAATTTTTAATTTCCTTTAATATCAGTACCCTCAAAGTGAGATCAGCTAGACAAGTCTACCTGGACTAGCACACCATAAAGCCACATAAGTTTTACATGGTCTCAGTTCGGATATCAACCGCGGTCTTACTTACGCTTAGCTAAGGTGGCCCTGTCTCTTGCACTAATGGTAAATAAACTCTAACGGTGGTACGGCCACGCAGCAGCCTCGGCTGTTGCACGAATGGGCAGGCTCGTCCGGATAAGTACCACGACCTCACAGAAGACCGGCGTAAAGTAGAAGTATAATAAATACCTTCGCGTTTCGTCTGGTAAGTGAGGTAGCCGGAGCCCAAATTTTAAAAGCTTGTCAACGCATGTAACCCTCGGGTGTAGCAGATGTCCATGGGCGGCGGTATTCACTTAACATCAGGTGAACCGTCTGCTCGTTTGGCAACTTATCACATAAAAAAAAACTAATGCAAACGATAAAAACGCCGTAGATGGAGAGTCTTCCAACCTCACTTCCGAAAGATTGACGAAACCAAATGTAACCAAAGGTAATGGGGAAAATCGCCTTGAAAGTGAGTATGATGCCCGTTTTCACCATCGATACCTAACTTTAAGGGACCTTATAAAAGTCCTTACGTAAGTGAGTGAAGTGAGACCTTATGTAAGTGCAAGTTACGTTTTTACCAACCCTCAAGTATCACCTTCATATCTGAAGCGTGAATCTTAGGCGATGGTGAAAAACACTTATTTTTTTTATTAGGAATCGATGGTGAAAATCGGGCAGTAAGACTTACAGTCATTTATTATGAAATCATTACGTCGACTTCTTGGTAAAAGTTTTACTGGTACTAAAAGTCTAACCCGACACTAATTTCCTAATTAGATTCAGGAAGAATTTTTTTAAATACGCAGTAGACTCAAGGTTATATCAATACACGTTAATTAAATTGTACTTCGTTACTAATTATAATTAATGTTTTTAGGGCATTCCTTATCCGCGTGGCATTATCAGAGTTTTAATCCTTCATCGACTTAGATAAGGCAACATAGTTAATTTGTTATTATTTATACATTATATAATAAAAAATGCCGTAAGGTTACGCACTTTGATAATTATATTGAGAACTTGGATGAATTATCATGTTTTTAAAGTTTTTTTTTATCGGCTTCTAAAATTTTTTTTTTTTTCACTTGAACCAATATCAGCCTATTGCCGTCCACTGCTGAACGTAAGTCTCCCCCAAAGTGCGCCAACTATCCCGGTCCTGGGCTGCCCGTATCCATCCGCTGTCCGCCACCTTTCTTAACTCGTCAGTCCATCGTGCTGCAGGCCGTCCCACACTCGCGGAAGATTGCGACTACACACACCTAGGCACAGAGCCACGGGAACGCTTTCGCACACTTCCGCGACCCTGCCAGCGCTGGCCGCCTCAGCAGCCCCCTCCGGGGGAACAACCCCCTATCCTCCAGGCGAGGCGCGCTGGAATATTCAGCGCGCCTTCCTACTCGGCCCCTTTTTCATGGACAACGAACCCCCCCGAGTTCGTGGACCAGAGGCCATGGAAGCCAGGAGAGCCCGTGCCAAAAAGCAGTAAGCCTCCCAGCCCCCAGCGGCGGACCTGGTCTGTGGCTCCTCCGCTCACCACTATTCGGCTGCGGAGGGTAGGGAGAACGGCGCACCGCAATACCGACGCTCCTCTCCCCCCGCGGCCCCACCACCACTGCGTCAATGGTGCAGCCCCGCCGAGTCGCGGAGGATAGGGAGCGCGGCCAACGCAATACCGACACTGCTTCTTCCCCCGCGACTCCTCCTCGGTAGCAGAAAACAGGGAGAGTGGCTCCACCTCTACCACCCTCGACCTGTCCCCTGCACCCTCCCGCACACATCCAGAGTGGGCTCAATGAGCCCACTCGGAGCGGCCCTCTCGGGCCGGCCTTGCACCACAGGCCGGCCCAGTGTGGGTTCCTATTAGCTTCGCCGTGGGGGACCAAGCCACAACTACTAAGCCCCTCCGCCACGTCAAGGCGGGAACCCGGTCGGAGGGGTGATGTAGTAGCCCTCAGAGAAATTAACTAATTTATTGAAATGCTAGTTTGTTATATTTGGTTAATGTTTCTGCAGCAGCCTTGTCGATATTGTCAAAATACTATTGTATAATAATAGGGTATCGACACTGATCATAACGCATTTGAACTAATCGTGAAGAATTTTACGCTGATTATACCGCAATTAAGGGTTAATTTTAAATAAAGAATACATATATGCTTATCAAACCGCTCTATTGGTACTGGTGCAGTTTAATTCGTCCGTCAACATCATTCGTCCAGCTTTTCACTTGACCCAGGGTTAATTGACCCGTACGACGGAATTTATGCATTACTCATTCGCCACGACATCGACATTATGTATGATGTTAAGTGTGTGTAAATGTAATGTACGCGTCACAGTGTTATTAAACGTTTGCTTGTGAGGTTTTATTTATTTATTTTATAGTGGTAGGGCCATGCAACAGTTTTCACTGTTGCACGAATGGGCAGGTCCATCCGCGTAATTACCACGTCCTCACAGAAGACGCTACGAAGACGTTACAAACGCTACGGGTGTTGCAAATGTTCATGGGCGGCGGTTATTACTTAACATCAGGTGAACCGCCAGCTCGTTTGCCATTTTTTCACATAAAAAATATTTTATTTAAAATTTATTGCTATCACCTTAACAGGGATTAAAAGTGGAAAATATAATGACTGTTGGGATTCACTTCCGGTCAACACGGGGCGTGATAATGCGTCCGTAATTGCGGTATATGCCCGGCCCTACCGGTTAACTGTGCTAAAATCAGTAAGCAGTTGCTGCCACCAGACAGAAAAACTGTGGAAGCAACATATATTATTTACGTACGTAAAATCATTAAAATGAGAATTCTATTTGTTAATAGAATCATTTGTGATTTATTGAAAATTAAATAAATGAGAATTACCACCGGTGGCAAAAATATCTATGCATAGATTATTTTGTTTTTTTTTAATCTCTCCATTTTACTAATAAATGGAGAGACGGTCTTTTTGTTTGGTAATACTGCGAAAACTACTGAACCGATCGGAATAACACTTATACAGCTAGTTATGGCAAACTACTTTATCTTCATATTTGTCACATTCTTAAGTTGTCCGCAATCAACTACTATATCTAGGAGTTCCTATGTAGTACAATATTTTAAATATGTACATGTCAGAGCCGTGATAGCTCAGTGTCCGGGCGCTCCCCTTAATTCAATGTATACTCGAGCAACCTGAGTTCGATCCCCGGTGTCGGCACCAATGAAGTTTTTAACTTTAAGTGCTGAATTATCACGTGCTCCGCGGTGAAGGAAAACATCGTGAGGAAACCTCATATTTTCGGAATAATAACAAAAAAAAATGTATTTCGAAAATATGTGAAGTCCGCCAATCCGCAGTGGGGCCGCGTGGTGGACTATGCCCTGATACCCTCTGTATAGAGGAGGCCTTTGCCCAGCAGTGGGACATGTATAGGCTGTTACTTTACTTTTTTACTTTTACATGTCATGTTCGAAATACAACTTGAACATTAATTTTATTTTAGTAAATAGCTTTTACCAGCGGTGTACTTCGTACGAGTTGAAGCCCTTAAATAAATATCTTTTAAAAAATATTTTTATTAAAAAAATATTTTTCTGTAATAATAATCCTATCTTCTTTTTAATACCTCTGAGAACATGTGTACAAAGGCTCATGATAATCGGTTGAGTAGTTTTGGCGTGAAAGCGTAACAAACAAACTTACATTATTATGTTAAGAAAGTCGGGATATGTATCAAAACGGTTTTTTCATCTATGTAGTGTACTTGTGTATTTTTTATTGTACTTGTGTGTTTCTATTCTATTCCTTGGTAATAAAACGCTTTAAATCAAACCACAAAAACATTTCTATATACAAAAAACACCAAATATCTCACTTACTACACATTTTAAACTTGATTTTGACGAGTTCCGTGGTGTATTTGCGTAGTCTAAGGTTCAATGCCAATGAAATTACTATGGGACCAAATGGAAGTTAAAGCGAACCCAACGCGAAAATAATTTTTATAATCGGTTGATGAAAGACGGAGTTCTGAGGTGAACAAACAAAAAAAAACACATCCAAATTGAACACCTCCACCTTCTTAAAATCGGTTTTATCAACCGCGTATTGTACATATATCATACATAAACATTTGGATAGGACAAAACGTAAGCAATTACATTTCATAACAAACAAAAACCGTTTACCGATTCTCCATTAATCCCACGTTATTATCTTTATCGTTGGTCACCGTCGCGGACCGTTCGCTGGTGACCGTCATCTAATGCGCGGTTAATGACAGGAAGCTGTCGCCGGCTTCCGCGTTCGCGATGCGACGGTCACCATCCATTACCGTCATTAGCCCACCCTCGAGGGCCAGATCTATTCACCGCAACAGGTTGTATTTACGTGCGAAACGTTTGGTTTAGATTTTGGACAATTTGATTTATTGGATTAACCAAGTGGGTTTGGACGACAATTATAAACTCTTAAGGGCAAAGAACAAATAATGTTTCGCAGAGGATAAATAAATATTTTAGGACACAATTTTTACACAACGTTCTCTAGTCCCAAACTAAGCAATGCTTGTACTATGGGTACCAGATAACTGATAAACATACTTAAACATACTTTTCCCTTGTAAATAAATACATATTATACATATATAAACACCAAGACACTAGAAAAACACTATGTCGAACCCACACCCTCTGGCGCAGGAGGCAGGTACACTACCCACTACGCCATTCGGGTCGTCAAGGATGGTGAAATATTTGCAGCAAGGTTTGGAAAACACCACAGTAATGCTAACAGCTATGTAAATATCACAATTTCTGTTTTATTAAAAATCACTCGCGTCAATGATGCGTCGCTAACCTATTTGAAAGAGTGTCTCTGGCACTTCAATGACCAGAATTATACTTTATAATACTTCTCTCATTCTCTCTGACCCAATTCGTGTGGGGAGTATTGACCCTGCCTCCTGCGCCAGAGGGTTCGATCCCGACTACTGGAAAAATATTGTGTGATGAACATCGTGTTATTATTATATTATATTATTGTTATATTTATTTATTTATTTATTTATTACTTCCACTTCACGCTGGTCTTCTGTGGGCCGTGATACTTCGACGAGCCTGCCCTTTCGTGCAATAGCGGTCTACTGCGTGGCCCTTAACAGAATAAAATCACCTCAGCATAATCATTGGGTTTTAAACTTAGTAAACAACCTATACCATCAAGTCTCCGACATATGCCAAAAGTATTGTCTCTATCTGATCTCGAATATACTTTGCTCTAAACGATCTGATTTGATTAACAAATAAATATTTTCGGATACATTTTTACACCACGTCCTGTATGGTAATTGTTTAGATTGTTACTACGTCCTTTTTTCGGTAAATAAATGTATTTTCTTTCTTTCTTTCAATAACTGTGGCTGCGTTCGACTTGCCGGCTACTGCGTTAGTTTATTTCAAAAAGCAAATAAATCAAACACTTACAGCGCTTAATCCGCGCGGATTAAACCGAAGCGCTCAAATATTTATGGCACGGACAGATAACTTGCGAAATGCTATACTATATGCCGTACGCGTATCTCCGGATAAAAATACCCAATTTTTTTCTGTGCAGATAATCGAACAATAATAAACACAATTCGATTACTGAACGCCAAGTCGATGGCCGCGGGCAGAAGTTGTACCATTTTTATTTTTGTAAATACAAAAACAAATATTGATAAACCTACCAATAGTTATCTTATTTATATTTTCAATAATTTTCCTGTCAGTCCCTTAAAAATTTATCACGTAAATTTATCTACTTTTTATTAAGCAATAGAAAAATAATAGATCAATTTCAATACGGTATTCAGGACGTTCTGTTGCCGAAATACCCATGACGTTACCGATGCAAATAGGTAGTAACGATCACATACAATTCAGTCTGATCGGATTTAACTTTATATTTTGCTATAGAGGGAGACAGAAGAACCTGTTCTATAAAGAAAATGAATAGAAACAGGTGCGCTGTTGCCATTTTAACGAGCAGTATTTTTCCTTTACCCTTAAAATCGTTTCGATACGTAGCGATAAGATAGCGTGGCGCTTGAGTTAATCCATTCTCTTTAGAATATTATCGTAGACGTCGAATACGTCTGGACTGTGAAGGCATGTGCGTCTCGATTTTAATGTGAACTGTCCGAAAATGTCTTGGGTTACATAGGTTCTGCGATCTGGCGAAAACACAGTCGGATGATTTAGCGCGATGGTATTGAAAAAGTGAAAGCAACATCATTATTAAGTATAAGAATCATCATCATTATCTTCATTTCAGCCTGTTCAAGTCCACTGCTGGACATAGGTTTCCCTCACAGACTGCCACCCCCATCGACTTCCCGAACACTTGCACAGCTTGTCACTCCATCTAGTGGGGGGTCGTCCCACGTTGCCATGGTGAGTTTGAAGCGGCCACTCGAGCCCCTTTCTTCCCCAGTGGTTATCGGTTCTACGAGCTATATGAACTAATATTTGGGTTTAATTTATTTTGCACCATTATTCTAGGAAGAAGTTGCTACATTAGCAATAAGGGCGTCTATATTTACACTTTGTTTACTGTATTCCCCTTTTGTTTACTTCTTTGTTTGCAATAAAGTTTATTCTATTCTATTATATTATATGCTATATAGATCCGGATGGTTCTGCGATTACCAAAACCACGTTAAAATGTACTTTGTCAACGTCACGACATCAGACTCGAACTAACCTATGTAGAACACATATGAACTGAACTACTTGCGTTGTTAACACACTGAACCTCTAAATGGGGGCTAATACCGAGTCAACAAAGGGTTGCTGGGGGCTGGGGGTGCGTAGTATTACTACTCTTCTTTCGTGGTAAGGATGCTGGTTGTTACGACCCTTGTCGTGTTTCTATTGTCCGTTAGCGCCTATAGTCTATATACTTTCAAATACAAACGCCTCCTCTACACAAAGGGATTTTACAGATTTTTCGAAATATTTTTTTTATTATTTCGAAAATATGCAGGTTTCCTCGCGTAGTTTTCATTCACCGTCGAGCATTTGATAAGTCAGTACACAAAACCAATTTAAATAGTGTCGGCACCGCGATTTGAACTCCTGTTGCTCGAGTATATCGAATTGAAAGTGAGCGGGCACTGCTATCATCACTGACTCTGTTTTGTTATCGTTATTAATTTGTCTTGCGTTTTATCGAGTAAGTACCTAAAGCGCATTTATTATAAATGATTACGCTACGCAATCATATTAGGTAATATTGTCACGATACTCACAAACTTATTGTAGAATAAATACGTTGAGGCGTTAATCAGTTTAACTGGAGCTAATAAAGTAACATGTTTCCTATACGCCTTCCTCGAATATAAAGGAAATGCTTTTATTTCTACCTTTCTGGATCCGAAGACTTGATAAGAAAATGATCATTACAATTAAATTTGTATGGGATTTCTTCCTACTAAATACCTTAAGCCCCTAATGTCTTCAAAGCTAAGAGGTTCCTTAGTAACATCGCATTTCTTCGTAATCTCCAATCACCACATATAAATTGTAGGTTACTGTAGGCTGTAGCGGCTTCATACTGAATAAGAAAGACCACATGACATTAAAATGTTTTGTTTTATCCCAACTTCTTTCTCTATAACATTTCTAAGCTAAATCCTTTAATTGTCGGCGTCCTGAGACGACTGTATAAGTACTCTTGATCGTTCTTAATGTTTGTTACATAGAAACGGAATAATTCGTAATAATAAATGCTTGTGCTTCGAAATTCTCAGCAAATTATAATTAAACCTTAATTAATGCTTTATTGAAAATCAATTGATATGTGTTAATTGCCTTATTAATAGAGAAATAAACAAAATTATTGATAAATCGCATCTCTGGGTATAAACGTTAAATGGTTCCACAAACAGGCTTTGTATGATCGTTTACGACCTACGACTTACCATTAGGTATGCAGCAGTTTAGCAGGTTCGTAATAAAAAGACCAAACGGCCGATCCACGCCGCACTTGCATGTATCTCGTCGATTACAAATCGTACGGCGCGCTATGAAAAATGTCCTTATTCGGAATTAATACCGACATCTTTGCTCAGGGCACCAAGGCGCCTATTAAGATGCCACTCGATAATTGTTTCGCGCACGTTTTTTGTGATGCGAAACGCCACTGGATGTAAGATCGAAAGTGTTAGTTGAAATCGAGTCACTATGTCGCCGGCCGCTTTGGGACAGAGTAATGAAATCTCAGACATATTACTAGTGCACATTATTAGGTGCCCTATTTTTTTTTTCTTTCATAAATATGTTGTTCACTACGGACACTTGGTCCGTACCTTTTGTAAAATTGTTTTGAAATTATTATATAATACAATATTTGGGTACTATTCAAACTACAACATAATATGCCTTTACTACGTGTTACAGTTAGAGCAGTTTTTTTTTACTTCCTAAAACTTACGCTAGTTAAATTACAATTATTTATTTTAACTTACTAAGCTACATTTCAAAGTTAGCAACTCAGCCCATTCTTCCAGTTCAGAGTACCACGCGGGTTACCAGTGAGATATACGCCTTATTATCATCCTCCCGCCTTTATACCTTACACGACTTAGGGACCTTCAAGAAGAGAGCCTATTCCTACATGCATGCTCGTTTGCCTCCTATTCCAAAAAAAACCACTAAGGTGGCGGTCGACACAACGTTATATTTACAACAGCACATTAGAACTGATAACGGATAACGGCCGGTTTCAGTATTCGATCATCAGATCAGATAGATTTGGTCACTGAAGATACAATTTTGGCTTAAATATTATGGAGCTAATGTCAAATACCTATTGCTAGTTGCCAAATCTATCAGAAAGATATAATATTAAAACCGACCGTTAATCTATACATAATATTAATATAACGATATTATCGGGGTCGGCCGCTGTTCGCGCATCACAGAAAAACTGGATAGATTTCGTTAAATGCATTTGAGTATTACTTCTTGAGGAAACCATTATTTATTCGAAATAATAAATCAAACAAAAAAAATATTTCCAAGATATGTGAAGTCCGCCATTCCGCAGTGGGGCTGCGTGGATATTTCACCACGATACTCTCTGTATACAGGAGGCCTTCGCCCAGCAGTGGGCCATGTAGGCTTTACTGCTATTTTACTTTTTTTACTAATTATTCCTTATAAAACTCACATTGCTATTAATTTGCAGCATTATTCAAGTTATTACTATGTGAAAGATACGAAAGTTAAAACGGCATTTTCTATGGAATTCCACTATATGAATGCGTGAAATAAACATCGAGTTTATTATAAGAAAGTGACAACTTTTGCTGACATAATTAAAAATAATATTCGCCTAAAACCACTCTGTTTCGTTATTACCTGTGCACGGCCTCGCCGTCGCAGCAGCGTTAAGTTGGTCGTCACGCGAATATCGCTTATGAGAATCACAAATAGCGCCGTTGATGCGGCCTCTTGCGTCAGAGGAGTACGGCGTCACGTCGAGCTGAAAATCCATCAAGGACCTTTACGAAACGCTGCATTAAGGACATCTGTACTCACTTTACTGTACCGTGGACGAGTGCTGGGACATCCTCGCCGGATATCGCGTGGCACATAATGCGCCCAATGTCTTTACTTAATTCTTTGTTCGTTATTTTAACTTTCTTAATAGATATATTTATTCAAGAGGAAGCTTTATATGTATAATACATTGCACCCGCGTGAAGCTGGCCTTTCGCTAGTATTATATATAATTATAGTACTTGTAACAATGATTGAGAATTTGGAATTGTAACGCTTGTATGCTACGGCATTAGTACACAAACACAGACATTTACGAAATCTTACCAGATTTCGTAAATGTCTGTGTATCTCTGTGTATGTCTGTGAATCTTACCAGATTTCGTAAATGCCCTGTTAACGCAGGTAACTCCTTTCTTAAGGCGAGGGTGGTTTCTTGGCTCCATGGAATGTGGGGTATTGTCAGTTACTACCTAGGCGTTAAAATGTTATATTAGGTTTTATAGTGCTTATCTCGCACTTAACATGAACCATTAAATTTTTAGATAGCGCCAAGCATTGTTTGAAATGCGAAAAAACAAAAGTAGATAAAGTACGTTGAGGTTTTCGTATGCGTGGCAGTCGGCCGTTTAGCTTAGTGGCTAGAGCGTCTGGGCGCGATACCCGGGAGAGGGGAAGTTTCAACCGCATTCAGACAGAATAATAGAGTCCTACTAATACAATGTGTCGCGGTCCAAAGAGCGAATGGCGCCTAATAGCCGTATTGACCCCACAGTTAAACCTTCGCCGTTCGCGGCTCATCGGTTATTTCGGCCGCGCGCCGCTTAAGCGAAAATATAGCGAAATCCCGCGGCCCGCGCTGAATAGCAATGGACCGGCTTGCCTGAACACCGCGCCGAAAAGTTACGCACACTGAGTTTCGAATACTGCGGTACTGCGGGGAAGGCGTAAAGCAGTATGAACGTCACATACCCAAAGATTCACTAAGAAACTTGTTTGAAGAAATAAAAATATTGACTGTAGCTTCTCATTACATACTTGCAAAAGTTATGTATGTCCACAAAAAAGTGACTTCAAGATTTAGTAATGTGCATGATGTAAATACTGGGACAAGCATAAATTAGTTCTACCCTCAACTAGATTGCATAGAATAAGTAAATCTTTTATGGGACAATGTATACGCTTCTACTACAAAATCCCAGAAAACGTTCAAAATGAATCCGTTGCTAAATTCAAAAAACTTGTAAAGGAACGTTTGTGTGTTAATGGCTACTATAGTATTAGTGATTATTTGAATGATAACACACTCTGGAATTGATTTGATCGCTCCATGCTCTTTCAAATGGAATTTATTAAATTGTACACATATTTGTTATTTTTGTCAAGTAAAAAAAGGCTTTCCTTCCGAACCGGTAATAGAGTTTTTTGACTATCAATAAGTAAGTGTAATGCTTCTATATTGAATAAAGATATTTGACTTTGACTTTGACATCACCGAGGATTATGGTCAGTTAGGAAGCGTTAAAAGGGACAAAATATTCACAAATTATCATCTTCGTCAGCCCACATCGGCCCCCGACTGAACCCTAATGGCTTACATCCGATTACGAGAACAGTAACTCGAACTAAACTAGCCTCAAACGGTGGAGAAGTTATACATTAGAAAAAGCAAAGAAATTTGAAAAAGAAAAATTATAAAATAGCTAAAGTTTTTATAAATCTGAATGAGTACTACAGCCTTTATACTAGTGTTGTGGGTTCTAAAAGAAACGATGTTTCGATTAGATACATGTAAAACTTTGTAAATACGAGAACATACAAAATAGACAATCAATCAAAAGTACATATCCGTTGATATTAGTTATTTAATCAACGAAGGTCAGATAGTGCGTGAGATATCAATGGATTGAATTCTAAGCTTACGTGTTTACGATAATGTTGTGAACTTGAAGAGGCATTAATGTCTTCAATATTTCAATCGTTTTGTGTGCTAACGTGATTTTTTCCGTATATAATCCGTGTGCTGTTAGCGACGGTGTAAAACATGATGAATTTTACTCATACGTAGTATTACGTTACCTAACACATACGAAAATAATACCATATCTTGTTATGTTTTTGAGTCATTATATTAATTATCAATACGAATACTACCTTGTTAACTCCGTCTACTATAATTAGTCACGCAACAATTTCTTTCCCACGGTCGTCCTAACAAAGATGCATTTCATGAATGGCTTCTAAATAAAATTTGCAACTGATAGCGTTGGCTAAACATTTTCTCACCTCTCTCGCTACTAAACCCATTAGAGGCATGGTTTTAATTTCTGTTATTTTGAATTAAGCTAAAATGTTACATTCCTTTCCGATTCTGGTCTTCGTCATTTCGAAACTTTCGTTATTTTATTTTAATCTTATATTTTCTCTATCTTTAAAAAAAACATTTGACATTTTGTAAGTAATGTGTTTTTCTTTAATACACATTACTTACAAAATGTCGAATGTCTTTTAGATCAGTATCAAATTTTGTCTTCAGACCATTTCTATTCTATCTCTTATCCTTTAAACGAGCAATTCTTTCAATATAATCGGAATCTCGGAAACGGCTCCAGCGATTTTCATGAAATTTAGTATGTGCATAGATTTGGGGGCGAAAAATCGATCTAGCTAGGTTTCATTTTTAGAAAATGTCCTTTTATCCCTGTTTTCAGGGAATGAAAAATATAATTCGAATATGACGGTAAATTTCGCCGCAAGAGAAAATGTCAAAATAGCTCGGTCGGTAATCGGGCGGCCCCAAAACAGACGGGCGTGGTTCGCGTCACGATCATTTACACATTTATTTTTTACTTTTTTTTCGATTCCAGATCATTGCTTTCTTTATTTTTAATTTTTTGTTGATTATTATTTTGTTATTTTTTTCCCTTTTTTTTTAAAGTTCTTTCTTTTGTGAAAAACATCAGTTCATATTTTCTTATTATTACGTCGGTAAGATCGAAAAATATTATGCATATTTCATTACTCAATAATTTGTACCTAAATGTAATTTCCAAAATACACGATTTACCAAAAAAAAAACAAACCGAGCAAAGCTCGGTCTTCCGGGTACTTTCTACTTTATATATCATATCCATCTGACGGTGTTACCTTTTTTCGACGCATTTTTGTAAAAAAATATTTCGGTACGATATTACGAACATACCAAGTATTCAAAATGGGACGGAGCAAATTCGAATTGATAATTAAACGGTTAAAAATATGATCAAAAAGCGACTTATTATTTTCGTCCAACCGTGGATGAAGTCACGGCCGCTGTATGTCATGGTTAATTAGTATTGTTACATAACGCAAGCAATTATCGCCTCCGCCTGTGAACGGTGCTGCGTCGCAGCTTAATCACAAAGTTGTGCACACGATGTGTCTGAGAAACTATGTCGAAAAAAAAAACATGCGTGTATTTATGTACGCACTTAAGAAGGAAAGAAAAACATATAAAAATTTTATCCCCTGTGCCAGTATTCCGTGTTGTACACAATTGCTAACGGTTTAATTAAATAACTTGGAATTATAGGCAAATGTCACATGTGCCGGACACTGAGCCGTCATAGCTCAGTGTCCGGGCGCTCGCCTTTATTTCAATATACTCGAGCAACCTGAGTTCGATCCCCGGTGCCGGCACCAATGAAGTTTTAAACTTTAAGTGCTGACTTATCACGTGCTCCGCGGTGAAGGAAAACATCGTGAGGAAACCTGCATATTTTCGAAATAATAACAAAAAAAATATATATTTCGAAGATATGTGAAGTCCGCCAATCCGCAGTGGGGCCGCGTGGTGGACTATGCCCTGATACCCTCTGTATAACGGAGGCCTTTGCCCAGCAGTGGGACATGTATAGGCTGTTACTTTTTTCACATGTCCATGGTAATACCGTGAAATTGGTCGAAGTTCGTCGCTTTGCAACTAACTTCATCGTGTCGTTTTTGGCCCTCGGAATGCGTGCGCGTTTTAAAAATTTTACTCTCATATTTTTTTCCGAACGCGCCAAAAGAGGTATAATTTCAATAATAATGTTCTACGATCTGTGCTTGAGGAGGCCACTGGAAAGCTTTGCTTATTTGGACTGGAAATATTTGTGTTTAACATTATTAGTGTTAAAATTATACTGATTCTAGTCGGTTACAGTCTGGACCGGTCAAAGTCTGTAGACGTCGAACCGTCGGTTGACGATGACGTTTAAGGGCCTGTAACTGCTACTAACGAGATTGAACTATACGATTTGAGCTTTGATGGTTACTGATCGGAGTATTTATTCGGGGTAGCTTTGGTCTTGAAATGTGTTTGAGGAAACGCTCTGAGCTTCGTTTTATCATTAAATAATCTCGCAGCTAATCAGCCAAATAATATGTGATACCAGTAATTAATTTTTCTGAGCCGCCCCATTGCCCGCCGTGCAAAATAGTCTTTGTTGCGTAGCTCTACCTATCATCGTCCCATCTTCATTTCTTTGTCTCTTCTTGTCTCACTATTTGTTTGAAGAGACGCTTCCTCGCTTAAAAGGAAAAAGTTCTATGAAAACACCACATTCTAATATTCGCTTCGAATGTTTATCGTGAATATTCGCATTGAAATAGTAAAGAACCAATAAGAATTTTCTACATGCATTCCGTCGAATCGGACGGACTAAGACTAAGAGACATTTCAGTTACTTTCGACCTTCCGTCCGGCGCCTCTTGAATGGATGATTACTTAGGTGTAAACTTAAAATTAACATGCCGATGACAGCTCCATATCTGGGATGTGTTAAATCATCACCGCGATGTACTGTGTTTTGGATAGCAATCGCTACAATTCCGATCCGATACGTAACGTTCTTGATATTAATTTTCAAATGAGGATCAACTGTGTTTTGTTTCGGTTGAGTTAACCAAGATAAGATTAATGAATCGAGTGAAATTGACTGTCAATAATTCTTCTGTCACTATTACAGCTATAAGTCAAAAACTTTGTCATGAATTAATAAATCTAGAAATAAACTGTCTACATTGTATGATTATGTCTCTTGATCCTTGATGGCTCTTGGACAAATACTTTTTTTTATGTGAAAAGCGAGCAAATGGTTCATCTGGTGTTAAGTTTACCGCCGCCCATGGTAATGCCTGATGGGTTGTAGAGGCGTTGCGAACCATTCAAAAAGTGGGCGCATGTATATACTCACCTCCACTTCACGCCGGTATTCTGTGAGGCCTTGGTACTTTTCCGAGCCTGCCCATTCGCTAGCATATGGTACTATTAACCAGGTCGCTTAGACTTTAGCAGATAGTGCTCCCTTCAAAGATATCGAGTTTTTGACTCGACGATACTTCATCGACGCATGGTACCTTCATGTTTTAATCCCTCACTGGGTAGAGAAAGATAGTTGTGTTTGTATTAGATCGCTGTAACTTTTAAAAAAGAAATTAAATTTCTAATAGCAATGGCGACATCTCTCGTTCGAATTATCGCTGTAAAACGGTATACATAACTGTTTGTATGCTGTAAAAGATGAACAATGAATGAAAGAAAAGAAAGAAAGAAAACATTTATTCATTTAATAAGCTATATGGAAATTTAAACAGCAAACATAAAAAATACGTAGTAAGAAGTAAAACAAAATTAAACATCACACATTTTACACACACACTTGTGTGGCGTATACGGCAACAGACCGTACTCAGATTAATGCTGCAGTCGATACGAGACTACAGCGCTGGTTTTTAGTGTGCCTGTGAATTACTCGTAAGTGACAGTAGTTTGGCTTAGTGGTTAAAGCGTCTGGGCGCGAATCCCGCAGACATGGGTTCGATTCCCACAGGGGCGAAAAACTTCACGCACCTTTTTCTACGAAGTTTAGAGTTTATGTCTTCGCTGAGCATTTGCGTCGATCATAATTGCACACCCTCTAACACTCGTATCGGCCGTGCAACAATGGATTTGCGAAACCTTGCACCTTGTCCCGACCAATGCGTCAGCGCTAGGAACATGTTCTGTTGTGCAATATCTTATTCGAACACGCCTCGTCTCGGCCACGGTCTCTCAGTACACCCGTTCACATACCAATAAGCCTTGACCGCGGCACCCGACGGCCTAGTCGATTCTAGCCCTTAGGCCGTGCCGTTTTGAGGCAGTTTTCCTTTGAGCAGCTCTACAGTACAGCTACAGGGTGTGAGACTCGTATGCAACTGTTTATTTATTCGCGAACCAGTTTATTGACTTTTAATTCTGACGTTTGTTTTTGCTTGGAAATTCGTTGGGTTTTTAGTCAGTTTTGCCTCAGAATGTATTAACCCCAAATAGCTCTCCTTTCGGGTTAAGCATTGATGACACAAAAATGAGAGGAATAAAACTCTGCTGTTTAGTAAATTGGCGAATATAAAATGCACCTATCACTCTTTTATGACAAAGACTTCAAACATAAATATGACCAGAGTAGTAAAAAATGAAAAATAATCCAACCACGAATTCATAAGAACATATATATTTAATACAACCCACAATGTAGTTCTTTCAATCGAATGTTATTTTTTAAAATATATATTTTTTTAATATATTTTTTTAAATTGTTAACATTTTATTTTTATCGGGTTACGTAGACTTCTTAACAAGTGAAAAAAAAATTTGTTTTGCCCTTATAGTATATACACATACATCGTATACAGACATATCTATATATTAATACGTGAAGCTAAAACTTTGCACTCATAGTTTATATAGAGAAGGAGTGGAGAATGCTAATATTTTTTAAAAATTATATATATAAAAACATTAAACCAATAAAAAAAAAGGTATTTCGACCACTGGGCGTCCACTAGGACAATCTAATTGGCAATATAACTGACCTGCGTTCTGTTTGTTCCAGTCCCCCAACATTCAAGACCCTGACACCGACCTCGCGCACCCAGCTGAAGCAGCAGTTGATGCGAGAGCATGCACAGGAGCAACTACGCAGGGAGTCTCTACAGGTTGGTAGAGTAATTGAGTTTAATCTGTATAGCAATACGGGAAGCAAAAACATTGAACCCCCATCATACGAAATTTCCGCGAACGGAGGTATGTGAAATTTCCCACACTTACGCCCGGTTTCTGAAACACCGATCATCGTAGATGTCAACTAATCAACAGTCAAATGCTTTTTAAATTTCATTTGTGTAGCCAAAAGGATCGTTAAACTCTTTGAATTGATCATTCTGATCATTAAGAATGTCATTCAGGGTAATTCAGAGAGTTTAACCATCCTTTTGGCAACTAAAATGAAATTTGAAAAGACATTTGACAGCTGATTAGTTGACGTCTACGATGATCGGTGTTTCAGAAACCGGGCGTTATAGTTTATATAGAGGAGTGGAGATATAAGGGATGAGAATATTTTTTAAATACATGCATAATAATTTTGAACAAAAATACCCGACTTCAAACAGGAAACTAAAAGCATTGTTAACACCATTTGAGGATTGCCCTCGATTTCTTTAGGATGCCATCATCAGATCTGGGTTTCCTTATAATGGTACCACCCTTGGGATATCTCCTTTCCAACAAAGAAAGAATCATCAAAATCGGTTCATAAATGACGAAGTGATCCCCGAACACGCATAAAAAAAATAAAAATATATATACGGTCGAACCTCCTCCTTTTTTGGAGTCGGTTTAAATACATTAAATCAACATAGAAAACATTAAACTCACTACCATGTATTGATACTACATTTGGCACACACACACATATATACTCTTTTGCTTATTTAGTATTGTATTTGAAAATAGATTAATATGGTTCTAACTTATAATTTAATTTAATTATGGTCGAATTTCGACCGCTTGGCGGCTTTCGACCGCTAGTTTAAATTCAAGAATAAGAAATCCATTACACCAGATACGTTGAAGATGCGTCGCAGACCTTCATGTATTTCCTCATCGAATTTATGTAATCAACGAACATAACAGTAAGCACTTTCACTTCACACCAGCCATTCCTGCTACAGCCGGCTCTGTGACAGCAGAAGTTACTATATCGATCTTGCAGACTGTAATGTGAACTTCTTCCATACACCAAGGTGTCATGGCAGGCACAATGTTAAAGAGGGGTCAGTCCCAGGCTAGTAAATGTAGACTTACTTAGGTCGTGGATCCTTTTGCAGAATCTTCATCATTGACCGTCAAGAGACTTAAGTTTCATGTTATTCAACTGTTCTATCCGTCTTTCGTATTTTCGAGGACGCTTTGGACTATTTGATGATCCCCACGCGTTACCCCACTTATGGATAGTTTGTCTTGGACACAAATCGCACACCCTGCCTGTCTTTGTCCAATATAATTATTTCGTTGTACGATCCAAAAGACATTGAATTCAGTATAATACCGATCTGCTAACAGCTGAAAATACTTCTTTCTTAATTTCCGTTAAATCGAAAAATAGATATTTAGAGAAGCTAAACAAAATTAATACCATTGGATGTTTCCATTATCAGAAAAGCTATAAATACTTGGCTGGCGGTGGTAGCGTTGTCAAGAGACAATCAATAAGTAAGTGTAATGCTTTTATATTGAATAAAGGTATTTCATTTGATTTGGCAAGGAGGCTTGAAGATTCACAAGTTGTGTCGACCACCTTGATAAGGATAGGAGGTTGTTGACGATAATGAGAGATTATCTCGCGCTTCTCCGCAGACACAGCAGGGACAGTCGAAGGAGAATGGGGAGGACAAGAAGAAATCGATTCCGACGGACGTGCCCCGTATTACGCCGAATGTTGAGCTTCCGCCTCAGGTGTTGCAGGTGAGCTGTCTTATTAAACAATATTTTTATTATAAGGGGGCAATATTTTTGAGGGAAGACTGTAGATCTTTCTAGGTCGCACTCGTTGGGACTCCTACCTAACTTCTTCTACATAAAATACGATAACAACGATCGGTTGATAACTTTTAAAAAAGTGGCTGACTAACGTCATTTTTTTTTCTTATTTTTTATACCCATTATTATTAAATTTAAGGTAACCACATCCTAGTTGCATAGACCTTAGGTATAACAATTCTGAAGCAAAACCGGAATGTTATCTCTAATATATTTATTTGATATTAATTTTAATCTATCTCCTTCAGTGAAATTATTAAACTAACCAGTTTTGAGTTGTACAATCAATGAGAAATAAAGGAAGAGACAACCATCTCACATTGTAGGCTTAAGTGTTTCAAACTACAATGTAGACATGTCCATGAAGGTGGCTGAGTTAACGCTGGTAATTAAACAAAACGGGAAAATAAGAAATACGTGATCGAAAACAATGAACATAGCGTGTTTACTGTTTAAGTGAGTTAAACATGTATTGCTGTAGAAGTAACTAATATTAATTATAAATGAAACTAATTTTACGGATTTATCGCGTTTATTTTTAATTTTAATTCCGGACGTTTCGAACCCTTTATAATGTTTATGGTCACGCGACAGACTGAGGCGTTAGACGTCTGATTGTCATAGTTAACCTGGGCTACCGTAAGTTTTTGAATTAATAATCTTGTGTCCGATCTATGCAGAGGGAGCTAATTGTATCTTGTCTTGCAGTAGTGGTTCGTTTGGGCCTAGATTTTATTTTTTCAACGGGACTTTGTTACTAGAACAAATTTAATCCAGAGTACAAAATAAATATAGTGCAACCTTTAAATTCACTTTGTGAAAACTGATGATGATACATGACCATTATTTGACTGGTATTATGAGATCAGCGCGTAACCAAGGAATCTGTTTTTATATTAAACAGTTGATATAGCAACGTCGTCGTCTTCACAATAAAACAAAAATTTTACTGCCGCTCTCATGGACGTAACCGTTAAACATTTAAATTAGTGACGTTCAGTTTTAAATTATCATAGATAAAACAACTCTTGACAAACAAAACAATTCTACGCTAATAGACGTTTTGATAGAACGTGTTTTACTCTTAAATTCTTCAAGTTTATGTAGTGTTAATGACAATATTTTATCTGTCCTGCCGCCAGGTGCGAACGGTTCTGGAGAACCCCACCAGGTATCACGTGATCCAGAAGCAGAAGAGCCAAGTGCGCCAGTACCTCAGCGAGTCGTTCCAACCGCAAACACAGGTGGGGCACCAAGTTCAAATTGTTCATTTTTTTAATTCAAGTTATAATATTTGTAATATTAATTTTCTATTTTTTGTCATCGATTCTATCACAATTTTTTTTATCGCTGCAATAGGTGAATAAATTTAATTTATATCAGATACCTGACTAACCGTTTTCTGAAACATTCTGATCATTAAGAAGATCATTCTGGTCAATTCATAGAGTTTAACCATCCATTTGGCAACTAAAATGAAATCTGAAAAGCCATTTGACAGCTGATCAGTTGACATCTACGATGATCAGTGTATCAGAAACCGGGCGTAAGTTTACATAACGAGATGGATTGGTCATCTCCATTTACGCATTTAGCAGTAGAAAATCTTGAGAAATCGCAGCAAAAAACCTTTTAGGGCATCGTAAAATTCAAACGAAACCCATTGAAATTTCACCATGTCAAACTTATCAACACATTAATGTACACGACCGTCCAAATTTTAGATGCCTTTTTGTTGATTTTTTTTTTTTTTCAATGTTAGGAACACTCGTTTACAAGTAAAAAACTGCAGGTTGCAGCGAACACTAGGCCCGGTGCCGTCCAGTCGGCGCCGGAGATCTGCGCTTCGCCGGAACGCACCTCCACCTCTAGTCTACTCAGTCCTGGACTGTGCGCATCCACCGCGCACACCTCGGAGGTGAGTGGGCTGCGAGGGCTGACGTCCTCTAGAACCATCTAGAACCTAGCTTGAAGCGAGCATTTTAAATGCTATAAAAGCAATGTAGATAAAAGACGTTACGGTTTTCGTCGGTGTGGCAATCAGCCGTTTAGCTTAGTGGCTAAAGCGTCAGGCCGCGAATGCCGGACGTGGGTTCGATTCCCACAGCGGCGAAAATCTTATCGTACTTTTTCTACAAGTTTTAATGTTTAATGTTAAGTGCAGACATTAGCATTATAAAAACTTTAAATTTCTAAAAAAGCAATGGCGACATCTCTCGTTCGAAGTTATCGTTGTAAAACGATATTCGAAATTGTTTGTATGCTGGAAAGGATATAACAATGGATGCTTAAAATGTAAAGCACATTGTAGATAAAAGACGTTGACAATTTTGCCCCTGTGGCAGTCAGCCGTTTAGCTTAGTGGTTAGAGCGTCAGGGCGCAAATCCCGAAGACGTGGGTTCGATACCCACAGCGGCGAAAGACTTCTCGTTCCTTTTTTCTACAAATTTTAATGTTTAACGTCTTGAACCAGTTTAAAGCACGTTGTTTGTAAATCCTGCCCATTTTTACGACTGCTTTCTCTGATGGACAGTTGAAATGGTGATGAAGGAGAGGGATTTTAAGAGATTGAAAACCCACACACAGAATACTCCCACTGGGGACAATATGCTGGTGGCCGTTAGCTGTCCAAGTCATATAGTTATCGAAATGGTCCAAGGGCCTAAACTTAACCATCTAGTTTCTGACGCTAGAGATCAGCTGTTCAAGGTCACTTCTGAGCTCGGTCAGAGACACTAAAATCATGTCGTTCGAACCATAACGTCCCAAAAGGGAAACTGGGAGGAACTGACCAATGATTCGTCCCTAGACGGATGAGTTCCTGGAGGACATCCTATCCCTGGACAGCGGCGCTGCCCGTTCGTCTTCAGGGCCTCCTTCCGCCGCCAGCTCAGTCGCCGGCGACTGTTCCCTCCTCACTGACGCCGACATGCACGCCCTTGCAAAGGACCGCCAGAAAAAGGACAACCACAACATGAGTGAGTGGATATATTGACTTGCTTGTGAAATTTCGAAGCGACAATACTCATAATACCCATTTTTCTGATGCTTTTATTTTATTGAGATATGCTTAACAAATGGTAATCACAAATATCGTGACTTCAAATATCTTGTTATTGACAGTTCCTTTCTCGTCCTTGCCAAGTTTGCAAATTCGTTCGAAATCAGATTCTCAAGTTCTTGAAAAGCCTAATAAAATAATAGAATTTTTTGCGTTTCGTTTCAACTTGATCCCTTCGCGATTTCAGTCGAGAGGCGTCGCAGGTTCAACATAAACGACAGGATCAAGGAATTGGGTACTCTACTCCCGAAGACCAACGACCCGTTCTACGAGGTGATCAGGGACGTGAGGCCAAACAAGGGGACGATACTGAAGAGCAGCGTTGACTACATAAAGTGCCTGAGGGACGAGGTGAACAGGCTTAAACAGAGCGAACAGAGAAGGAAGCAGATAGAACTCCACAACAGGAAGCTGATGCTCAGGATACAGGTGATTTGGAACCTTAAGTTTTATAGGATTAAGTCGAATTTTAATTAGGGAGGCCTTAAAATCTGCAGATAATATGTCAAATTTGATTCCAACAGGATCTTTTAAATTATGCATCCAGACGCTGTAGCCATGCGAAAGCGTAGTTTTTAATTCTAGTAGCGGCAAAAAAAAATTGTAAGTTTAATGTTCGGAGACTAGCACTAAAAATCAGCAAAGTAAAAAAGTATAGGTAACAGCCTATACAAGTCCGACAGCTGGGCAAAGGTCTATTTCACCATGCGACCCCTGCAGGTTGCTAGATTCACGTATCTTCGAAAAATATTTTTTTGTTGTAATTTCGAAAATATGCAGGTTTCCTCACGATGTTTTCTTCCAGGGCTTAATGTCAATCTAATCGTTATTATCTAAACTATTGGTTCCAGGAGTTGGAGAGGTTGGCGCGAGTCCACGGCCTGCCCCTCAATGGCGAGAGCTGGCCCAACGAAGAGACCCCAGAGCCAGCTCCTCACACACCAACGGCTACTTCCGCACCGGTAAGAAAACAGTAGGCCCTTGGCGGTAGACGATGACTCAATAGCACAGTCGCCTTCGGCATCGGCTTCGGCGCTGGTGGTCGTCGGTTCGATTCCCACACGGGACAGCTGTTTGTGTGATACGTAGATACTTGTTTCAGAACCCCAGTTCCAAACTCCCAAGCCATAAATTACATGTGGGCAAACGGGGAGTTTGCCCACATGGAATTTATGTATGTGTAACGTCTTTGCAACACCGGATAATGTTATGCTGCACGTGGCAATGTTTTCCGACGGAAGACTACAATAGATAATCTTCTTCTTCTTCTTTATTTAATAAATGGAATAGATCTTCTAAGTCTCAGCGGTTGTATCTCGATTTTACATGAATTTCGGTCGTCATATCCTCGCTGGTGCGTGTAGCACTTGCGTGCATCCATGCTCATATCCCGACCGTTGCAGGAGGTGGTCCTCCCCAAGCGCGAGCCCGCTCCGCCCATGGAGCTGGGCGAGGCGGGCGCGCCAGAGGAGGCGGCGGATGCGGAAGCGGAAACGGAAGCGGGCGCCCTGCTCGGAGATCTGCCCCCACCCGACTGCTTACCGCCTCTCGACGCGCTGGGTAAGTACAGCATCCGCTTTATAATTTTTAATCAATCAGTATAGTATTTCTTACAATTCTTTGTCAATTTTATGGATTCAAACATTTCGCTTTATTTATACGAGACAAATTATATATGCATAGACTCTTTTAACTTTATACTAAAGATCTCACTAAGGTATTGACTGATAGAGTGCCTCAAAGTTTATTCCTCATTTTGTGTTCTTCCATTTCGAACGTAACTCGAAGTGTTCTTACACTTCAGTCAATGTGTTAAAAATTATTTTTTGTTGCCTCGAGTACAATTTGTGTTCTTTAAACGTGAAAAAGCAAAATCCGTAACCGTTGTGAATATTAGGGAGGAATATTCACAACGAATAATGCACGCTAAGCTAAACTAGTGGTTAAAGTAGCGTAAAGCGGAAGTCGTGGGTTCGATTCCCATTAATAGTTAACATTCGGACCGCAATACCGTCATGCCTTCGTTTATTCTCGCAGACGGCCTCAAACTGGGCTCCTGCTCGCCCCTAGGGCGCGAGGGCCTTTCGGAAGGCCTATCGGAGGGCCTGCCCGAAGGCCTATCGGACAGTCTGCCCGAGGGCCTGGCGGACAGTCTGCCCGAAGGCCTCTCGGAGGGCCTGTCCGAAGGCCTGGAAGAGGGCCTATCACTCGGCTGCCTCGCGCCGGGCCTCTGCCTCGACCCGCCGCCCGACATTTTCGACCACAAGGACGTCAAGGTAACGGCGTTTGTACGTAGATTTTTTTACTATTAACATATTGTTCTTATCATATAATATATCGACTATTTACGTCTGTCCTGTTTATCAGAACGTGCAAAAACCACTGTGTGTTGAATATGAACATAAACATATGAACGATGTTCGGCGACAAGGTTGTCATATTTAGGCCTATTATCATCAATGTATTTATATATAAATGACTTGCCTAAAGCAACTGAACAACCGATGACACTTTTCGCAGGTGATTGTACTGTGACAATAGCATGCAAAGACAAAGATAAATACGAAAATGATATTAAAAGTTCACATATCTATTAAAAATTGGTTAAATAATAATAATTTGATCATGAATTTAAATAAGACATACATAATGCATTTCGGAAAACGGACACATAAATTTGAGAATCTTAATATTAATTGTAATATTAATAATATTAATGAAGTTGACACAACAAAATTTCTAGGTTTAGTAATAGACAATAAGTTCAAATTGGAAAACTCAAATAGAGACAGTTTGCGAAAAATTAAGTAGTGTAGCGTACGCACTAAAACAACTTGCAGTGGCTCTTAACAGAGATGCGCTAATCACAGCCTACTAACTTCTTTAATTTTTAAAGTTAAACGACATTCTTCAAATTATGACGATGTTAACAATACTCTCTCCACTGTAGTGCATTGGCTTAGTGCTAATAACTTAATGTTGAATAGTAAAAAAACGAAATGTATTAAATTTACAACTCTCAACGTAAAAAGTGTAAAAACTGATGTACTTTTACATGGAGAAGCGTTAGACCTAATTGACTCGACTGTATTTCTTGGCATAACTGTAGATGCCAAATTGCAGTGGGGCCCCCATATTAATAGACTGACGAGTAGACTTAGCTCAGCAGTCTTTGCAGTGCAAAAAAATTAGACAGTTGACTGATGTGGATACGGCTCGTCTGGTATATTTTAGCTATTTCCACAGTATAATATTGTCTTATGGCATTCTACTTTGGGGAAATGCAGCCGACATAAATACTATTTTCATCCTGCAAAAGAGAGCTATTCGAACGGTTTATAACCTGGGCCCCAAAGATTCACTAAGAAACTTGTTTAAAGAAATAAAAATATTGACTGTAGCTTCTCAGTACATACTTGCTAATGTTATGTATGTCCACAAAAATAAGAATGACTTTTCAAGATTTAGTAATGTGCATGATGTTAATACAAGGAACAAGCATAAATTAGTTCTACCCTCAACTAGATTGCGTAGAATAAGTAAATCTTTTATGGGACAATGTATACGCTTTTACAACAAAATCCCAGAAAACGTTCAAAATGAATCCGTTGCTAAATTCAAAAAACTTGTAAAGGAACGTTTGTGTGTTAATGGCTATTATAGTATTAGTGATTATATGAATGATAACACACTCTGGAAATGAATTGATCGCTCCAGGCTCTTTCAAGTGGAGTTTAATAATTGTACACATATTTGTAAATTTTTTTGGCAAGTAAAAAAAAATGTCCCGCTGAGTTTCTTACGCCGGTTCTTCTCAGGTCAGTGGCTTACCTTCCGAACCGGTGGTAGAGTTTTTTGACTATCAATAAGTAAGTGAATGCTTCTATATTGAATAAAGATATTTGACTTTGACTATGGGTTAGCAGAGTCAACACTAAGATATGGAGTTATCTTTTGGGGCAACAGCGCAAACATTGAAATGGCCTTTCGGGCGCAGAAGAGATGCATTCGATCAATGCTAGCACTTAAAACATATCACATTTTAAAGAACTTAAAATATTGACTTTGCCCGCATTATACATCATAGAAACAGTTATGTTTATTAGGTCTAATTCCAATTTATTTTCAAGTTTATCTGATGTAGCACCTAGGAATGGCGCAAGAACTGCTCTTATGTGTAAGAGCATCTTTTGCACGGCACCGATAATATTTAACAGATTGCCCAAATCGTGGAAAGAATTAAATACTCTTGATCTCAAAAGACAATTAAAGAATCTTTTAATTAATCGAGCATACTACAATATCTTAGAATTTTTGAAGGAAGACAATTTTTCGTAATATTCAAAATTACTTCTTATTTTAATATAATTTAATTTGCATTATATTATGTACTAAAAATTGTAAATTGTTTGAATTATCATCTGTTATTTTAATATTGACATTATTTATTATAACAATTTTATTAATCAATTTCGTAATTAATTATATTATGACTGAATAATGACATGTGATTATATTTGGCAAAAGTATAATTTATAATAAACAATATTGCGGTCAATGCACCATCTCTTGTAACCAATTTGTATGCCGTGATACGGCCTGGACATGATAGGACAATGTATATTTAATATCTTGCATGCAATGTATGTATACCATGTTTTTACAAATAAAGACTATCTATCTATCTATCTATCAATTGTTCCCGCCTATTCCGTTTATCAGAGCTCTTAAGTGAAGCTCGTAAGTAAAAACCACTGTGTTTAGTGACCGATGTTTGGCGACAAGGCTGTCATATTTCGATCTAAATATGTTTGATACCAGCTAGCTTCATGTCAATTAGCGCTCAAGAGTCTTAAATGTTTTCTCGACTGTTTTAATTCGAGTACATAACAATTTTATTGTTCCCGATTAAAACATAAGAACTTAACGCCAATGAGATTGTTCGTTGTTATTTCATACCAACGGACAGTTCTCCCAAGTGGGTAACACTTTATATATTATCATTATAATGTAATAAAGAATGGATGACTCATAAGTGCCGTTGCTAAGTTATTGGCTTTGCTTTTTCCGGACCCCCTTATTTTCCCTATTTATTTGTCAGTTGACTGCTAGAGAGCACCTAATGGATGGAGTCTCGGACTTGTTAAATCCGAGACATCACGTGATTGTGCAGAAAGTTTTTAAATAAATAAATAAACGACGAAGGAAAGTTGTTCCTGTAGTCTGTACCGATTCATCCCCTTCCCCAGATGCGGCTGTCGCCACCCCCACCCCTGCTGGCCCACATCGAGGACCTCATGGACGACGACTCGCACAACCCTGTGACGTCAGGTATGCAGTTCGATTCTCCGTTCGCTCCGTTTCGGGTGTCACAGTAATATCGATTTAAATTAAAAGTACTTAACTGTGGTAGGGCCACACAACAGTGTTCGGTGTTGCACGAATGGGTAAGTGGTGAGTACCACGACTTCAGAGAATTGGCGTGAAGTAGAAGTGATACACTTTTGCGTTTAGTCTGGTGAGTCGGGTAGCTGGGACCCAATTTATTAAAAGGTGGCAACGCATCTGCGACCCTACGGGTGTTGCATTCCATGGGCGGCGGTTATACGTAATTATATTCAAATAAAATGTATCTTTGTTGTTCAATCATAAACTGCAGCTTTAATTAATTCTGAACTATAACCATTTGAATTTGCTTGATGACAGAGTTATCGCCTGACAACAGTCACTACGATGTCTGCTAGCGTATTTTATTTGGTATCCTAGTTTTGATACCGAGACTGTGGATTAAACTGGTAGGTTTATAACGAGAAGGGCGGGAAGGGGGCAACATGTCGTCCCCTTGTCGTCTTTCAGGACCAAGTTGAAGGCGAGAAGACGCAGTCTTGTAATATTTTAGGAGCCAAAATCGTATAAAATAAATAATTTGTCTATTTAGGTGACCCGATGCTGTGTTCGTCTCCCACCTCGCTGGGCCTCTGCGAGTCGGCGCTGATGTCTGACGCCCACAACTTCGCGCACCATCACGGTTAGTGACCTCCCACCTCCACCCCCCATTGGCTCACTGGCTGTATAGCCCAACCCGCTGGCTCACCGTCCGAGCTGTCAGTCCACCTGTACTCGCTGACTCATTAGCTCACTGGCCACCAACTCGCTAGCATTGCTCCTGTGCCAAGTGTTTAGCAGCATTATAGATTCCATGACGCAACCAGGAAGAACATCGCTGCATAATCGATTGTGGTAGGGTAGGAGCTTCCGCTGTTTCACGAATGAGCAGACTCGTCCGAGAAGTACCTTAGTCTCAAAGAAGACCGGCGTGAAGGGGAAGTTATGCTTTTATGTTCCGGCGAGTGAGGTAACTGGTTCCAGTATTTTAAAGGCAACACATTTGTCACTCGAAAGCAGTTGAAGATGTCCATGGGCGGCGGTGACCACTTAACATCAGGTGAACTGCCTGCTCGCTTAACGATTCGTTAAATTAATTCAGGAAGCCATAATCATCTTGACAAATTCTCCATTTAAATGATGTCTTCTTTTGGGTTTACATTATGCCTAAGTTTCAAGTTACCGTTACCGTGGTAGGGCCACGCAACAGCTTCTGCTGTTTCACGAATGGGCAAGCTCGTTCGGGGAAGTACCAAGCCCTCACAGAAGGCGAAGTGTTAAACTTTCGCGTTTCGTCTGGTGAGTGAGATAGCCGGTGTGCGCATTTTTAGAGTTTTTTATTTTTGTCAACGCATCTGCAAGCCTCGGGTATAGCACATGTCCATGGGCGGCGGTATTCATTTAACATCAGGTGAACCGCCTGCTCCCTTGGCAACTTTTCACATAATAAAAAAAGAGATTTCTAAATTTTGAGCGTTGCGTGAGGCTCATCAAATTTCCCTCTCCCCAGGGTCTGCCCTGCTCGGCGAGGGTCTGGGGCTGGGCACCTCGCTGTCCCTGGGCGACAGCTGCCTCCCGGGCCTGCTGTTGGGCCACCACCACCACCACCACGCGCCCCACTCGCCGCGCTCCCACTCGCGCCCGTCCTGCTTCGACATGGACCTGGGCGCCTAGCCCTCGCCGCCGCGCTAGCGCCGTCTCACTCGCTCGGCGACTGGCTCATCGTGTCGGGTGACAGGCTCGTCGTGTCGGACGACAGACTCGTCGTTATAGGTGACAGCAGCAACAGCCGTCTACCTTCGGGTTAGTGGCGGGAGCTCTTATATTAGACTACCAAATGTCCAACAGAATTCACAATAAAACGATGAATCCGCCGGCTGCCGTATTCGCATAAGTGTCGGCGACAAACTCGTCACCTGTGTTGGCTCAAAAATCGTGGACCGTAACGCCATCAGACTTGAGATTGGAGTCGACAGCTGATTTATTTGCTAGCGAAGGTTCAAACAGAATTGCCACTTAAACCACGATTGAGGCGAGGACAAACTCGTCACCTGTCGCGTCCGGCCCAAAAGGCCGCCGAAGCAAGTCGAGAGCCAGAATATTTATAACCCTACCACAGAATATTCGCGTATGCAACATCTGCGTTCCGCTCACTATGACAGCCTCGCTACTTGTACCGTTAAAAGAAGAAAAGAAAAGAGCCGATGGGCATTGACACTTTAGTGTTGGGCTCAAGAGCAGATTTTTTTAAAAACAGATTTAACATTCGTACAGAGTTTGGGTACGGAAAAGATCCTTCCTAAAAACCCTGAATTCAGTTATCTCTGATGGCCTAGTGGTTGGCGCGACGACTACGCACTTGCGGGTCGAATCTTCAAGTTCCAGTGATGACCAGTTGAAAACCATTATACCATTGTACCAGAGTTAATATCCTAGCAGTTCTTACTGATTCTATGCTATATTGAACGTCCTTAATTTGGCCATGTCTTAGATAATGTCATGTTGAGTTAAGATTTAAAATTTAAAAAAAAGCACTTTTAAAGTGTATGCATATATACAAAACTATAATCATTCAATGGACTTTGAACTTTATCTTGTTGTAATAACGTTCAATGTACTTGAAGGGAAGGAAACGAAAAGTTGTAAAACTAATTTTAAATGTTTCCGTATTAATGTAATATACGTAATTCGGAAGTGTTGCAAAGGATGTATTGATTTTCAGGAGAAAAATTTTAAATTTATCTCTTATAGTATTGTAACATATCTGACGATAACCGTTATGGGTTCAACATGTATAGAACAAGAACACTCGCCTTCAAATCCAGAATCTTCCAAAGCTTTTAACGTAAACAACGAATTTTAAACCAATAAAATTATAAATATGTTGTTAATGTTATTGCAAATTGCCCGTTATGGTTCTTTAAATACAATTTAAAGTCTCTTATACTAAAATTAAACTGTTTGATATTAATTAGGATATTATTTAGTCACAATGTTGGATGAAGGCAAAGCGGGCTGGCTGTCTTATACATAGGCTTTATTGTGAAAGTATTAAGGGTCAATTTCGCTCAAAAAGTGCCTGAAACTGTTATTTTTTTAAAAACATGTATAATGTGAATTTGTGTGTGACACGACGAGTTTGTCGCGGTGCATCGGCCATAAGATAAAAGTTCCTCAAAGAACGTTAATGTTACCAGGTTAAGAATAAAATGTTATAACGCCTTTGATGCGTCGCTCCTGTCCGTTTTAAAAAAAAATCCAATTCGAAATTGGAACGTCGAATTCGATTTGAAATAGGAATGCGTTCCTTTTTCAAATCGGTTTCCTCGTCGGCACGTGTGTTATTATATTATAAACGGTGCTCCATTTTGTGTGTTCGTCTAAATGTTTATTACGACATTCTAAATATACATTGTATATGATTGTCCGTGATAGTTATATATGAAGCAATGAAATGTGCATATTTTCGTAGTTTTTACAATATATTTATATACAAACGTAGTTTATTACGAAAACTGGGTATTTTATTAGTGAAGGACCACGATATTAATTTTTACATACAATTGTGATACGATATATTTTTAGATGGTATTTATGGAGAATTACGAATTCTATAATATATTTTTTTAAATGTATCGATGTAGTGAACATAGTTAGCAAGTGCCTTTCTCGTTGCGAATTTTATTCCCTTGCATTAACCGTTATTCGTTTTATTTCTTGTTCTCGCTAAGTTGTGTAAATATTTATTAGGTTTGTTGATTTTTTGAACACTGGTTGATGACGTCACATAGACAAGGTCTTTAGTTATGTCTAACGTAGAATCGCTGCCAAAAAATAATACTAAAAAAAACAGTCGTTACTTAAATGGCGTTATTCGAAAATATCAATACGTAATGTTCGTTAGGTTATATTATTTATTAGCGTTAGCCGTTATCCGTTGCGTTATTTTAATTTTGACGGCAGCTGTTTAGGTGCAACTTTAACTGCTTACCGTTTTTAAATTCATGACTACGAGTTTTTTACATGCCATTGGCTTAAAGGATAACAAAATGCCAGAATCATAGAGAAAAAAAACTAACGAGTTTCCAGCATTTTAATTTCCAATAGAAAATTATAAGAAATATTTGTTTAACAGTATTTGAAAAAAAAAACTTAGCGTGCTATTAATTTTTTAAATATGTCAAGCCGTCGATACTACGCATTGCTAATTGTGATTATTTCATTTTTTATTGATAAAATCGCAGTGGTGTATGGTGATAAACTCTCCGCCTGTCGTCTCATGGAAGCATCACTACACCTTTCACTTTTTAATTAACTATCTATTACGTAATGACGATATACACCTCAGTCTGTCTTGAATCGAAACAGCGGGAAATTAGATAAAAAATAATAGAACATTAAAATCAAAGCTGTTCTGCGAAATACTTTGAAACTGTGTCATTTAGCATTGCGTAGTATTGTACTAATTAAAAACGTTAATCGCTATACAATAGATGTTTCATTGTTTTAAAACATTTATTTCATTATATCTGTTATTGTTTTTCATTATAATTATGTTTGTTTAGCGCGTGCGCCCTTTAAATAATTTGCTCGAATTTTTTTTAGAGAATCAACCGTGTTGTTTCGTTTCGTATCGAAATCAATCAATTCATTCTAATTAAAATCTCGCGTCTAATTAACCGATTGATTTGTGATATGCAATATTCGGATTATTGGCGGTTTGTTGTTATTCTTGAATTCAATAAGCCAATTTATCCAAATTAAATCTAATTAAGTAATATTTTTATCGAAGTAAGAAATATGCGTTTCATTTTCATCCATCGAGAGCCATGTTTTAAATCTACCATCGTTTCGTAATGAGGTTCCTCTAACGGAGAAGAAACAGGTGAAAGAAACTCCGTAGGTATCCTCTTTATTGTCATTTCTTTTCCTCAAACAATTACATTGTAATACAGTTAATATATGTTTTTGAAAACAGCTTAATTCCTTTCATCTCATCCCCAGGGGTTGTTCCAAACTTCATTACTTTAAAACCTAATTAGACGCGAGATTTTCTCCAACACGGTTTCGTTTAGTTGTTACGTTCGCACAATTTTGGGACTACATATATTTTGAGGGTATAGACCCTAAATCGAGGTAATAGATCGGTGTTGACCGATTTCTTTTGGCTGTCGTGTGAATGTCCCTCGCAAAGTATGCGGAGTTTAGACTGGCAAGGACCTTCCTCATATACAGAACAAGTTCAGCGGGTTACATTCTTTAACAGTGTTACCAACTGTTAAAAAAAAGACTCCCAATTGAAAACCCCACTAAACTCGACTAAAATTCACTAAATTCAAACCAAAACACATTAAATGTTTCTCATTTAGGAATTTTTGCTTTGAATTTACCTCCTATAAATCTTCCATTGTAAATTTTTTCTTCCTAAATTTAGAAAGAAAATTCCTAAGTTGGCATCCGTAAGTCTTTTTTATGCGACTTCCCTTTCTACAAGCACGAAATGCTTGGTTGGTAGTGGTAAGAGAAAGACTTTCTCTTTCTCCACCTAACGTCTGGTTCTTTGTTCTCGCCAATCTGAACCCCGCACCGTATATACAATCTGTATTTAATATACATATTTTGGTTACGATGTACAACTAAATTTAATAGTGGAATTTCTTAGCGAATTATTATGTATGGAGAGTGGATCCAATATTATGCGCCGTAAGTGTTATATGGCGTACAAGGAAAATTATGTGTTATTGTCTTGCGAGACACAAAGCGATTTGTAAAGAGCACGCCGAGAATCCTCTCCGTATCGTTGACGGAGCCTTTACCCCGCGCTCAGAGACGCCAATTAAGCTATAACATTAAATATCTGTATTTCAACCGGTGTCATTGACGTATCCTTAATAATGTCGCTTAATCACGCACATGGACCTATTAAATGCTAGCTGAGCGGTAACTGGCGTCTCTGGGTGCGACCGGCAGTGCCTTAAATTAGTCATGTAAGTTAATATCGTTACAAACGAGCCCTTATGTTAATATTTAATATGTTTAATGTATCATCATCGCAATTCTGCTGCATGTGTGTTATTTAATATTGTATGAGATTAAAAACGATGGAAACTATTGAAGTACAAAAGAGAATTATGAATTTTAATTGAATATGACCAGTCTTTCATTTCCCTTTTCATTTTTTTTGAACGATTTTATATTTTTTTAACGGTTTAAAAATGCCTACTGCTAAAAAATAACACATTTTATTTTCATTGCTAATCCGTACTTAGATGCAGTTTAACGGATATTTTTATGTGCAATGTTAAGCGAGCGGGCGGTTCACCTGATGTTAAGTGATTACCGCTGCCCATAGACATATGCGACACCTCAGGGGTTGTAGACGTTGAGAACCCCTTATAAAGTGGACCCCGGTCATCACACTCACCAAACGAAACGCGAATGTACCTTCCCTTCACGCCAATCTTGTGTTAGGCCTTGGCACTTTCCTGGATACGCCTGCCCATTCGTGCTACAGTTCACATTGTATATATTATACAAGATACTCCATTTATTATGTGACACGGTACTCGTATAATTAATGAATGAATGAGATATCTTATCCTTTAAACGAGCAATTCTTGTATATATATATCCTCCGGGTACTTTATTGTGCACCAACAACGGACATTGAATAATCAACAAAAAATAATAATAAACAAACTGTTTGTGGACCTAAACCAATATTTACTATACTAACCTATTTTTTATATAACTTAATACCTCTACCAAGGAACTATTTCCTGGTTTTAGCTAAACTTCGTTAATAATAATATATAAATATTAAGATAAAAGTTGACAACATCGGGGAACGGAACACAATGATTAAGGAGGCATAAAATGTTTTCTTAAAAGTCGCTTGAAAATAGGTAGCGATTGTGCCCGTCTAATATGTATTGGGAGAGAGTTCCAAAGCCGAACAGCTTTCACAGAAAAGGACTTGGAGTAGAAAGATGTACTAAAGGGAGGATTTCTGAGGATTACATTTTCATCGGAGCGGAGGGATCGATCTGGGTGAGAATAATATACTGTGATTTAAACGAATCCAAACATTTTATATGCATTTCAGTTAGATATTTCTACTACAATGAGATCGAATATAAAAGTAGGATAGCTCTATTCCTAAATCTCACCTTGGAACCAAACTAACAAAGTGTAAACAAAAAACTTAGTTAAATTTCTCAATCAATAAGATATTGTATCATATTTTATTGAGTTCAGATGTAGTTTATTTTAGGAAAAGTAATCTCATCTGTATAAATTTTCTTTAGTAATCTCGAAATGAACGAGTAATTGTTTACATTTTTGTGATATCTGCATACGAATTAAAAAACAAGGGCGGTAGCCCTTAGGAATCCCAGAGACGATGGAAAGAAAACCTAGAACATGACCCTTTAAGGGAAACCCCCTGTGATCTGACAGGAAGGTACAAAATTATCTCAACGTGCAACCGTTTACACCGAGCATTACAAATTTACACTAAACATATTACGTTTTTACATTAAAGGGCAAATGTTTATTATACTGCAACAGTGATTGTCTTGAATAGGAACTTACGATTTAATTTGGAATACATACAAAAACAATGACACAATATTAAAAAAAAGTTTAATGCACTCTCAGTGTTTATCCGAACATTTTAAAATAAATATCGATAATACTTTTACCCTGTGAATATTACAATGTGCGAACAAATAAATAAATGTAATATCAGATACTAACAACTTATTACCTTATCTATGCCGTGACGAATCAAGCGCGGAGAACGACCACTGCGATCATACGGAGAAAATGAGCAATTTGACCATTCAAAGCGCTTCATCAATCGAAACGTCCGATGCATTCCATGCGAAGCTAGGAATAATAGTCTTGGGACGGGGCGAGGAGCGACCCCAAATTGCGGGCCTGATTATTTTTATTCTCCGGAGCCGGTGGACACAATGGTGCGTTTCAAATTTCTCTCGAAATTTGCGTTTTTGCATAAAAACCAACGCGGGGCGGCGCGTGCGCGCGACACATTAAAACTTGGCGCGACCACGGCTCGCGCTTTTGGCGGGACTTTCGTTTCACTTTTTTTTTAATGTCACCATTCATTTATTTTTATGCCAATTACAAGTGACAGTGAGAGAAATTAAACGAAAATTGTTAAAAAAGTCGAACTCTCATGTGTGAAATTAAAAAAGAATAAAGTATATTAATTAATCCTTACTAATATTATAAAGGCGAAAGTTTGTATGTATGGATGGATGTTTGCTACTCTTTCACGCAATACTACAGAATGCATTTTAATGAAACTTTACAATAATATAGCTTATACATCAGAATAAGACATATATATAGGCTATAATATATATTTTTATTATTATACTCTCTTTCTGTTTGAATGTTACCTACAGCTTCTACGCAGACCGAGTCGCAGGCAGCAGCTAGTCTTCTATATGTATAAGAGATTTCCACCGATAATTGACTCATCACGATATCTCTGGAACCATAAAGCGTAGAGACTTGAAATTTGGTAGAAATATTCCTTTCGCCGAGTAGAGGTCAGCTTAGAACGGATTTTACGAAGTGTTACCTTTTGGTCCGCTAGTTAAATCATAAACCCAGATAAGATAATATACAAGACATGGGAACTCCAATTAGATCGACATTATAAAATGGAGCCGATATTCTATGTTGGAAATTAGCTGACTGATGATTAACTTGCTATTTCTTACATTGATAATTAATAAATTGCCTAATACGACATTGCAAAAAATGCATTCTACCACGAAATTATTAATGTGTCTTGTTCCTCAAGCTTCTATTAATTGAGCTTTTTTTTATATGAAAAGTTGCCAAGCGAGCAGACGGTTCACCTGATGTCAAGTAAATACCGCCGCCCATGGACATCTGCTACACCCGAGAGTTCCAGATGCGTTGACAACCTTTTGAAAGTTTGTTTGATTCAAACTTCCTATAAAGTCGTCCCTATTTTGCTAGCGGGCAACGTGGTCACTGCCCCGCATTGTAACTAGAGCGCATTGTTGCAACGCGATTAATAAAAGCGATACAGTTTCCGAGTTTTTTCCACAAAATTTAAATGGACTCCCCCCATTCGTAACGACCGTCCGCCATTTGCATGGGCCCCGGAGCGGCTGCATATTTTATGGCCGACGGGGAATCGAAATTGTAAATCGAAGCGAAATGCAATTATTTATGCACGTTCCCAATAAAAAGACATTAACATTTTATTTGCGCAGCTCCGCGCTTGGCCGGAATGTCGCATTATGCGGCGGCGATACATTGTTTGATCCGCTTTAATGTATCGATATGTTTCACTTCCGTTTACATTTGTGCTTTTTGTGAATTTTAGTTTTAATGCAAATATTCGAAAAAGCTTGGTATTTCTCTGCGTGGTAAGGTTCTCAATAAAGACATCCACAATAAAAAAATATATAGAACATAGGATTCAGGTGGTATTGGGCCGGCCATACAGCTCAAAGAATGAAACAATCTATAGCCGAAGAATTTTTTATCTGTGGTGGCACAGATTAGGAGACTTGCTATTGACAGATTAGGGAAAATTAAAAAGGAAGAACTACAAATGACAGTTCACGTCGAAACGCAATCACAAAATTGTCAGAACCAAAACTTCGCAGTACTTTTTTACGGTTACAATAAATGTTTTAATATCGAAATTTATCTTTAAGAAAGATGATGAACCAAGCGGCACCAATTCCGTCGGTTCCGGCTCAGATATTCGAAGATGTTCTGAAGAGTCCCTCCAGAACAGTCGTCCCAGTATCACCATTGGCTCAGGTTTATTCTTAATAACTTAGAGAGACAGGTAGATGTAGTGGCTCAGCATTTTTATTCAACTCGATGGTCAATAATTACTGGCAACGGTGATCATCCACGATGCACTCTGTGGTAGAGATGTTGTCAAACCATAAGGAAGCGGTTTGAGTATTGTCACACTCGACAGGAATGAATTTAAAAACGTCCCTGTTGAAATGATCGTTTAATAATTATGACAATTAACGGTAAGTATTTATAATAACCGATGAACACGGAATAAAACTATGATATTAAACGGTCATTATTTATTTATTGGATTACCAAAATAAAATACAGCGTTAACAGTATAAGGAACATGTGTAAAAAGAATCCTATGTAACTGTTCTTGCAATTAAAAGTAACTTTATGGCCTCGCACCAGTCTTCGCTGTTGCGCGAATGGGCAGGTCGGTCCGTGGTTTTTCGTATGTTGGATTTCCGAGAATGATGCATTTGAGACGACTGATGATTCAAAAAGTAAGATCGGCCACTTTATTTCGTTTCAGACTCAAGAAAATGGATTTGTGAGGCTTACTATGCTTTGAAGTTATACTTCTTTTGGCGCGTTAGGGAAAAATGATGGGGGTAAATTTTTAGGAAGCGCGCGCACACCGTCAAAAATTTCGAAAAACCGACACCCTGAAGTTAGCTAGACATTTACGTATGTTTGCGTGCATTTACGCATACTTTCTTTCTTTCTTTATTTTGTGATATCTAAATCTAAATCTAAACTTTATTTAACTGGATAATGAAATAAAACTTTCTATGTATTAAATACCTTTTTTCTATTGTTAGTGTCGTTTTGCCTACAAAAGTAAAATAAGGCGAAAGATAAAATTTTTAAAAAGATTTTTATCTTGTTACGCCAAAGAAGTATAACTTCTAACGCGTGTACATTAGTATACACACACTTTTTTTTCCATCCTCCATTTATTCCTTGACTACTTGACGGCCTATATCTATTTTTACTACGGATGTAATATTTTGGTGAATTCACCCTATATAACTACAGAGATGATGTTTAAAATATGGTCTTAAATATTTAATTTATTAATTTATTTATTATTAGATCCAAAACACTATCGTTTAGAACGCTGTAGGTAGGACTTTACTCATAATGCATTATACTGGACTCCTTTTCTAACCTGAACCAAGCTAATAATCTCAACTCGTCGATATCAAATATATTAAGGGTGGTTGCCATTTTTATGTGAAAAGTTGCCAAACGAGCAGACGGTTCACCTGATGTTAAGTGAATACCGCCGCCCCTGGACATCTGCTACAACCGAGGGTTACAGATGCGTTGACAACCTTTTGAAAATTGGGCTCCGGCTACCTGACTCACCAGACGAAACGCGAAAGCATTTGCCATACTTCTACTTAACGCTGTTCTTCTGTGAGGTCGTGGTACTTACCCGGACGGGCCTGCCCATTCGTGCAACAGCCGAGGCTGCTGCGAGGCCCTACCACCGTTAAATCCTGTATCGTATTATTCCTGTCCTCTTTGCCAGAAACATCATGAAGTTGCTACCGCCTCCATTCTCGAAGATCTGTCAGCAGTGGATCGTCTGCTAATCACGAAGCGGCTTCGCGTCAGGAGCGTAATCTTCCTGCGGGGGAAGAAGAATAAATTCTTCGTAAGAACCCCAGACAGCAACCTCGTGTTTACGGTAGAGGAAGAGAACAGGTATCTTATATGATGTGTTATGTCTGTTGTAGGCCCATGCAACTGTTGAATGAATGAGCAGGCTCGTCCGGAAATTAACTTAGCCGCGCAGAAGGCCGGTGCGAAGTAGAAGTGTTATAGTTTTGCGTGTAATCGAGATAACCGGGGCCCAATTCTTTATAAGTTGGAAGCGCAACTGCCATGTCAAAGGAGCTGGTAAATATAAGATCGCTTAACTTCAGGTGAACCGCCCACTCGCTTACAAACAAAGACATAAAACAAATGCGAAAGACGTTGAGTGATTACCACCGCCTATGTCCATGTTCATAGAAATAGCCATCAAAATAGTGGGCCCCGGTTAGATCACTGCAGCATAGGAAACGCGAAAGAATAAGAATAATAAGCCACGCAGCGGCTTCAGCTATTGCACGAATGGGCAGGCCCGTCCGGGTAAGTACCACGACCTCACAAAAGACCAGCGTAAAGTGGAAATATGACAAATTCTTTCACGTTTCGTCTGGTAAGCGAGGTAGCCGGAGCCCAGTCTTCAAAAGGTTCTCAACGCATATGTAACCGTCGGGTGTAGCAGATGTCCATGGGTGGCGGTATTCACTTAACATCAGGTGAACCGCCTGCTCGCTTGGCAACTTGTCACATAAAAAATAAATTAACTTCCACTTCACGTCGGTCCTGTATGAGCGCTTGCCTACTCGTGCCACAGCAGAGGCTGCTACGTGACTCTGCTACAATACAATAGTATGTTGACGAAATACATCTTGATGTTTTGTTAAAAGTTGAGTCAATTCACAAACTACCATAGACATTTGTAACATGTTAGTTAAAACATTTAAAAAGTATTCTTTGCAATACATGGCATAACAAGGGCGTAACACTGAGCTAAATCTGAATTTTTTACGTGAATCAGTACGATAACTTTTTAGCCTTCGTAATTTGTTGTACTTTACATTCATTGCTTTGCCTGAGTAGTTTTTCAGTAACAGTTGTTTTGTTGTATATCTTACGTTAAACGTTTCATTGTTTCAAATTTCATTTTTAAATAATCTGTTACGGCAACACCAAACGCCACGTAGGTTTAGATGGGGGCCTCCAGAGACACCCAATTTCTGCCTTGTCACTTACAACTTCAACGGCTCAAGTGCAACATCAAAAATTGTCAGACCTAATTTTTATTGCTACATCCACTTCTCTACAAAATTTGATCCGGCTCGAAGACCATAATCTGTATGTAAATTATCTGTGCACAACTATAGGCATACAAATCCAAACTATAGATAATTATTAACGTGTCGTTTTAAAATTGTTTCGACATGTATGGTATTGGTGAATCTTTTTGGATGTATAGATCAAAAATCGGCTGTTCACAGCTGGTGGGTGGGCTACCTCTGCTATGGGCTGCGGCCTATGCAGCTGCGCGTCATCAACAACCTTGGCCAGGAGGTGATGAGGATAAACCGGCCCTACGCCTGCACCGCGCGGGTGCTGCCCTGCCAGCTGCAACACCTGGAGGTGTTCTCGCCACCCGGACGCCTCATCGGCACGATAGAGCAGCAGTGGGCAGCCGTCAGGCCGCTGTACCTCGTGAGGAACGAAGACGGCGACGAGGTGTTCACGATACGCGGTGAGGGATATAAGCTTTCAGCTCCTTAAGTAAGCCAGTACCACGTGTACCTACAGAGACCCTCAAGTAACGGACCCGGTATTGCGTACAATGATACTCGGTATGTAGATCTTAATATTCATGTATAATTCTCTTAACAAGTTTCAGTAAATCTTGTGTGCCTGTGAAATATGCTGAAGAAGTCAAATTCTCCATCCGTTTTCGCAAAACCAAACTGCGCTCAAGTTGAGCAAAACGATTTTTATTTTCATACTAGCTGTTGCCCGCGACTACGTCTGCGTAGAATAGGCTGAAGGCGTAACATTCAGACAGAAAGACAGATATACATAAGAATATGTATATAGATTATAGCCTATGTCTTATTCCGATGCATAAGCTATATTATTGTAAAGTTTCGTTAAAATCCGTTCAGTAGTTTTTGCGTGAAAGAGTAACAACCATCCATACATACAAAGGACAGAAGGGGAATGATGTATACTAGTTCTGTTACTCCCTGCACTTGCATCAATTCTTTGTATGGTCTATCACTCCATCCAAATGGATCAATTATTTTTATGGTCCAGGTCCGTACGTCACGATAAGCCTGTTCCGCGACGTTGAGTTCACCATTAGGCGGCAGGGAGGCGATCTGGTGGGAAACACCACCAAGAGATGGCAAGGGCTGCTGCACGCTCTGTTCTTAGCGCCGATCACCGACAGGTTTTAGTTATTACCATTTTTTATGTGGGAAGGCGATGGCAAGGTGATGGTGATTGGTGATTCATCAGTTAACCGCCGCCCATTGACATTTGCAACACCCGTTGGGTTGCAGATTTGTCCCCACCTTATAGTAAAGTACTGGCTACCCTACTCACCCGATGAAACTCAGAAGTGTAACACTTCCACTTTACGACGGTCTCCCGTGGGTCGTGGTACTTACCCGGACGGACCTGCCCATTCGTGCAACAGCGAACACTGTTGCGTGGCCCTACCACAGTAAAACTAAACTAATAGAAAATATAAATTTATTTATTTATTTCTTTATTAGACATACCAACAGTTACAGACATATTAAAAAACTTAGTGATATTACATTACAATATGTTCTTATATGTACACCAATATTAGAATTTAGTTTAAAGTAAGGTTAAACTAAATTTATATTTTCATTTACAACAGAAACAGATATCGGATTAGTTTAAAATTGCTACGATGTTTTTATTCTTATTGGTTGTTGTCTCTTGGCAGGTTTGGCGTGTCTTTCGACAGATGTTTAAGCGTCGAGGAGAAGGCTCTCCTCTTAGCTGCGACACTCCTCATCGACTACATGTACTACGACGTGTGAAGCATCTACGAATACTGGAATACTATGTCTATTACTAATATAGTTTTGTAATAATGTTACATATTTTCGAGAATTATATTTGAAATATTTAATACAATTCGTATTGTATGGGACTACTGACTTCACTCTTGTGACTCCAATTGTCTTCATTATGTAACGATGTGGTATGTAATTTATATACAAATCAATCGATTTGAATATACATTACGTACTAATCAATTATATATTAATCTATAGCCACTCCTACATTTGAGTCGACAAACAAACGGATCTCGAAACCAGTTTTATAATTTTTCTCTCTAAATCTCACAACTTGCTTCCACGGCCATGGAGCGAAATATGTTTAAAGGAATTACTTTAACTGATAATGAAATTATAACAAGTATCGTAATTTTAAATTGGAATTAATTGCAATGGAGTGGTTTTGGAAATGGAATTGGCCGAAGTTATAGCAATTATTTAATCTTAAAAGACTCACTCACTTAAAACCTGATGTCAGTGTGGTAGGGCCACATAACAACTTCGGCTGTAGCACAAATGGGCAGGTCCGTCCGGGGCGGCACCACGGCCTTGCAAAGGATCAGCGTGAAGTGGAAGTTTTTATACTTACGATTTCGTCACACTTTTTTTAAATCTTGTCAACGCATCTGCAAGCTCAAAATCTGTAGATGTCCATGGATTTAAGATCCTTCCTGTCTGTGTTAAGCATAAAACAAACCAACAAACACTCGCATCGACATATGTTGATCTTACAAGAGGTTTGCTCACTCGTTGATAATAAATTCAGGAAGTATAAATATAAACGTATTGCCCTCAATATAAAAAAATAAGTATATCAAGTTCTGGAAGTGAGTGGAACTAAGATCAGCGTCCGTATATAACAAGCGTTTTAGACACAAGCGAAAAGCTTTTATAGAACTTGCGCATTTATAGAACCCCAGAGGGAAGGTGGTAGACAAGTGTTTTTAATTTATACTACTACTACTATTTTTTAAACTTATTGACTATCAAAATTCTAGTATTACCGGTACGGAAATGAAAAGCTACTGGCCTGAGAAGAACTGGCGATAGAAACACTGCAGTGCAATTTATCTTTATCTTTATTTATTAAATGAAACTACTTTACGGATTTTATCGCGTTTTTTATTTTAATTTAAATTCCCGACGTTTCGAACCCTTTCCAGCGTTCATGGTCACGGGACAGACTAAGTTGTTAGACGTCTTGATGTCATAGTTAACCCCGGCTACCGTCAATTATTTTGTTTATTTTTATTCCGATCCACGCAGAAGGAGCTTATGGTATCTTGAGGTCTGGCAGTGTTGGTGTGCTTGGATTTAATTTTATAAATTATGGGATCCCAAGCAGATGATAAACTCCAACCATCTTCTCTATTGAAATTAGGATGTTTCTTTATTTCAATAGCCTCGCGGATCATCCTTGGAAGGAATCGGTGTTCTTTTGCGAGGATTTTCGGTTGATCAAATCTAATGTAGTGGTTGGGGCGGTCTAAAATATGATCACACCGCCCCAACCACTACATTAGATTTGGACGGTAGCCGGGGTTAACTATGGCATCAAGACGTCTAACAACTTAAGGCCCATTTACACGGTGCAAGTTTCTTGCCTGTTATATACAATTAAATTGAAGCAATAAATGAGTTGCATTGTCTAAACAGCACATAACATTCTTGACTGTTGAACAGGACTTGCTTCAAGTTTTGTTTCAAAACTGTCCTTGGTGTAAACAGCACACACAATAATTTCTTAAGCAATTCTTGTATTCAATTGCATTCTCTCTTCCTTTGCAAAAATTAGTGCAATGAGTGACGGTATTTAATCATTGCTGTTCTTTTGAGGATAGAAATATTGAGAAAAGGTCGTAAAAAAAGTTTGGATAAAAATATGAATAATAATATATGGATCATAATAAATAAATCTCAATGAAATATATTTAATCGGTATAATCTAACTTGAACACTTATTATTGAGCCATTTTAAAAAAAAAACAGCCATTTGTAAAACGTTCAACACTTGCATGAAAAATTTGTCAACGCAAATACGTGCAATACTTGAAGCAACACGCCAATAAATTGTACACGCACATACAAGCATGTGTTTAGACAAGTCAAAACTTGAAAGCAATAATCGCCTAAACATAATTGCATTGGTGTAAACAAAAGACCTTTGCAATTATTTCCTGTCAAGACTTGCATTCAATAATCGCATTCAATTTTTTTTACTATATCTGCGTGTAAACTGTTGCTTACAATTCTTGATGGTCAATTATTGCGTGCAACTTATTGCATTCAATTATTGCTCTTGTATGTACAAGAAAATGGTATCGTGTAAATGGGCCTTTAGTCTGTCCCGTGACCATGAACGCTGGAAAGGGTTCGAAACGTCGGGAATTTAAATTAAAATAAAAAACGCGATAAAATCCGTAAAGTAGTTTCATTTAATATGTATAATATTCGCGTAAAATCAAGAAAAACAATATTTATCTTTATTTGGCACTGAAATCGTGCTTACAATATATTAAAGTCCACTTGAATGAGCCTGGATTGATCAATTCATTAGTCAGTTTCTTTGTAACAAATTAAGGCTTTTTATGTTTACAGAATTTCATCGTTAGAGATTATGGTTGGACTTTTTAAAAAAAATATTTCATTTTGGTTGCGATTAACATTTGTTATTAACAAATAACAAATCACACTTCAAATATCTCGCTCACTATACATTTACTATTCAGAGTAATTTTATAAAAATTTATATATAAAAAAAAGGAATGAAAAGTTTCTCGCCGCTGTGGGAATCGAACCCACGTCTTCGGGTTTCGCGCCCTCTAGCCACTAAGCTAAACGGCTGATTGCCACACCAACGAAATTTTCAACGTCCTTATATCTACATTGTTTTTAGTATTTCATATATTCGTAATTGTTTGTGTTATCATTAATTACTTTCAAATTATTAAAATTTGTAGAAAAAAGAAACGAAAAAGTTTTTCGCCGCAATGGGAATCGAACCACATCTTCAGGTCTTCCCGTCCTGCAGCTGTAGCCATTAAGCTAAACGTCTGATTGCCTTGCTTGCTTTGTCTACATTGTCTTTTTAGTATTTGAAGCAACGATTGGCGCATCCATTGTTATATCCCTTCTATCATAATTATAAACAATTTTGAATATCGTTTTACAACGATAATTAGAACGAGAGATGTCGCCATTGCTTTTTAGAAATTGAAATTATTATATTGCTATATACCTATATATTACGAATTTAAATTACTTTAAAATTATGTTAATTTGGTAAAGAAAAGTTTAAAAATATGGAATTTGAAATTAGTATTTTCAAACTATTGCAGTGGAAGCATTGCAAATCAACAGCGGGGTCGGCCAACACTGCCATAAACGTTATAGCAAAACTGGGACAAAAATCAAAAATCGCCATTAAAACGCAATGCGTCCACAAGCTGCCGAACAATTTCGATAGTTATTGACATGCGGATAGAGATTAAATTGTAAACGCGGGAAGACGTCGGACGTAAACATCAAATAGGGGAAAGTCTATCGGTCATTTAATCTTTGTTGTCGTTATATTCAGACAGAATTCGGGCTCCGACGTCATTAAGAAAACTTGAAACATGTTAAAGCGGCTCGAACAAGGGCCTTTAATTTTAGGAATAAAATGGGACGAAGGAAAGCGTAAATACATAAATACTTGGAAAAACTGTTAAAATTTAATAAGTTAAAACAGCAAGTACTAGTTAGTACGCTGTGTATTCACAAGTAAATAAACGGAATTTATTGTAAAATAGTATGTAATAAAAAATAAGTATGTACATAGATTTCTCGGCTGTAGATAATTATTTTTTTTCAATGTATCCAACCTATAATTTCGAATCAGTAACCCAAAATCCTGAGGTGGGCACTAGATGATACTGGGGTGGGCATGATCTACCCGGCCCCTCTGCTCTATACGCCTATGCTCACAGAAGACCGGCGTGAAGAGGCAGTATCCACTTCTGCGTTTCGTCAAGTGAGTGAAGTAACCGGAGCCCAATTTATTAAAATGTGCATTTTATATAAACCTTTGTGCAACACCCGTATGGTTGCAGATGCGTTGTCACCTTGTAGTAAAGAGGGCCCCGGCTACCTCACTCACCTGCTGAATCACAGAAATATATCGCTTCCACTTCGCGCCCGGTCTCTGTGAGGTCCTGGCTTACCCGGACGGAGCTGCCCATTCGTGCAACAGCGAACACTGTTTCGTGTCCCTACCAGTGAGACCAGTGTTGAACTACGGCGTATTACTCATTCTGTCCCAAGGAAGCCTGTGCTCAGAAGTGATTACTCTAAACGCCACAAATATAGGTTTTACAACTTTAGTTATCAACATTAAAATTTAAAATCAACCCTAAATAAAAAAAAGTGTGTGCGTGTAACCTTTACGCGCGATTGAAGTAAAACTTCTTTGGCGTTGACGGCATATATCACTGAAATGATTAAATATTTAGTAACGTCATAAGTTTATGTCATATTTTAAAAATATGACATATACTTAGGACGTTCCTTCCGTCCGAAAAAATCTGAGTTACTCCCTAGTCGCGCCTAAAGAAGTTTTACTTCAATAACAGTCCATCCTATCTACGACATGTTGAATTCACTTATTTATTACGAATCAATCGAGAAATTTCGGAACGGATATTTTCAATCAGCTGTAAGAAATGATGATGATAATGTAATATATATGCAATATAATATAATGTAATATAAATGACGCACATTCAATTGGCCCAAACAGGGACACCGGCATCTCATTTTTAAATTCGTCTTACAAAAATTCATTTAAGATTTTAACCTTAACTTAAATATTCGAGAATTTTAAACAGATGCAAAATCCCTCCGGCAAAGAATATCTGTCGGATATATTATATGTTTGCTGTTTGTCGACGTTTTCTTTGTTTAAGAAAAAGGATATCAATAAATACATTAAAAATAAT